AGACAAATCATAGACACTCTCGCTTCATCCTACACCATCCAACTGCAGACAGTATATGTAAGAAACCCAAATCAAGTACCTTACTCATTCCACCAGATACTGTCCTTTAATACAAGATTCTGTAATCATTAAAAAGCAATCTATAACTTGTGAAATAGCATTTATTTACAGAGCAGTTATGACGTTTAATTTAGTTACATCTAAATCAAGCCTATGGAACAAAGCTGTGGGCAACATTTATGGCTTAGCCCCAAATCTCAGCTTTCCCTGTTTTATGTTATGTCCACAGGCACCTTTGACTCCTTGGTTGTGAATTAAGGCATTTTTCTTATTAGAAAAGACAACAGAGAACTGGTAAACAAGTACTGGGATCTTCTGTAACTATCAATAAGAGGTCCCAAATCCAGAAAAGGTCAGGATAGCAGTTCCTGGTTAACAAAAGAGGTTTTCCAACATCCACAGGCTTGGCTGGTTCTCATTCCATACTATTTAAGTCTCTTCTTTTGTCTAACCAAACACTCAGCACCTACAAAGACAAGGTAATAGCAAGCTATGAATCTTAAAAATTACAGAGATTTGACTGTAATTTTATTTCTTTTTCTGCAGTAAGATCTGACTATGCTTTTTTTCTTTAAAGTATGGTCTTGCCCAGAAAAGAAACTCTCTGTCCTCTTTTGGCTACCATGTCTTACCCCTATAGATGAGACAGTGTGAACATACGTTAATATCAATAGGTAGAGCAACCAAAAAATGGAGTGACTCCAGTCTTTGGTTTGCATGGTTAGCCCTCTGATTTGAGGCTCTGGAAGTAGGAGCTCCTGTTACTTCTGTATTCCCAACTCTCTTGAGACTTCTTCACTGCTGCCTGTATTCCTATACTACTTTACTTCATTATTCTATTAAAGCTGGTCCTACAGAGGTTTAGGGTTTTCCAAAGCAGTAGGTACAACGTTAGTACCTCAGGGATTTTAATCACCTTTAAACATAAACTCTGAGAACACAGGTCACTTTAACATCACTCTTATTCTCAGACTTACTAAAATCAGATTCCAGAGGCTGTACTCCTTCTTCTTATAACTCTCTTACATACACTACCTGAATCTGCTCCAAGACTTCTCGTTGCATCTCCACAGCCATATGGTACACATGATGATCAGAGTCATTGTACATCACAGCATTTTGGAACATCAGCATCAGGTCTCTCTGGAACTGAGCCATGGTACGAATCCGTCCCTTAGACAGATTCCTTTTCAGGCTAGTTAAGTCCATGGGTCTACAGGTGGCCAAGAAAAACGAGAGAAAATCAAATTGTCATGGTGAATATGTGGGACCTAACATGCTCTCATGGAAAACCAGCTCTCCAAGTAGTAAATGAAAATAGCAAATAAAACAGTAGCAAAGATAAAAATACCCATCAGATGATAAAATGCCAATAGCAGCTAACATTTGACTTCTTACAATAGGCCAAGAGGTGTGCTAGGTACCTTCTACATTAACTCACTTATTCTCTCAATAAACCTATAAGCTGGCGCCTTATTATCACCAATTGGCAAAGAGGAAACACATCTAGAGAGGCTAAATACTTGCTCAAAGTCACATAGCTTGGATTCCAATTCAGAGGCAGCCTGACTCCAGAGCCCACAAGCCCAGCTACTATACTCTTACTACTGTAGGAGGAATGCTAGCCCCAGGTACCAAAGTTGTAAAGAGCTCCAATGATGAGTCACTCCCATCGTACTGACTGACTGACTGTTTACAATGTGTAGTCATATACTTGTTTAATCTACTTCTCTTACTACATAATCAAAAGTTAAAAATGTCCTTCTCCTTGTGTGGAGATAAAGAGTGTGAATCAAGTCAATGTTTACCTAAATAATTATTTAATGAGACACAAAAAGTGGGTATATAAGAGAAGACACAGCAGTGTACAAAGAGGACTGAACTAGAAGTTAAGAATCGGGTTTAGCAATCCCTATCAAAATAAGACTAGCATTCTTCACAGAGCTAGAACAAACAATCCTAAAATTTGTATGGAACCAGAAAAGACCCCGAACAGCCAAAGCAATCTTGAAAAAGAAAACCAAAGCTGGAGGCATCACAATCCTGGTCTTCAAGTTCTTATTACAAAGCTGTAATCATCAAGACAGTATGATACTGGCACAAAAACAGACACGCAGATCAATGGAACAGAATGGGAGAACCCAGAAATGGACCCACAAACATATGGGTTTTCTGCTTTGACAAAGCAGGAAAGAATATCCGATGGAATAGAGACAGTCTCTTCAGCAAATGGTGCTGGGAAAAGTGGACAGCAACAAGCAGAAAAATGAACCTGGGCCACTTTCTTACACCATACACGAAAATAAACTCAAAATGGACGAAAGACATAAACGTAAGACAGGAAGCCATCAAAACCCTGGAGGAGAAAGCAGGCAAAAACCTCTTTGACCTCGGCTGCAGCAACTTCTTACTCAACCCATCTCTGGAGGCAAGGGAAACAAAAGCAAAAATGAACGACTGGGACCTCATCAAAATAAAGCTTCTGCACAGTGAAGGAAACAATCAGCAAAACTAAAAGGCAACAGACAGAATGGGAGAAGATATTTGCAAATGACATTATCAGATAAAAAGTTAGTATCCAAAATCTATAAACAACTTACTAAATGCAACACCCAAAAAAACAAATAATCCAGTGAAGAAATGGGCAAAAGACATGAATAGATACTTCTCCAATGAAGACATCCAGATGGCTGACACATAAAAAAATGTTCAACATCACTCATCATCAGGGAAATATAAATCAAAACCACAATGAGATACCACCTTACACCTGTCAGACTGGCTAACATTAACAACTCAGGCAACAACAGATGTTGGCAAGGATGCGGAGAAAGAGGATCTCTTTTGCACTGCTGGTGGGAATGCAAACTGGTGCAGCCACTCTGGAAAACAGTATGAAGCTTCCTCAAAAAATTAAAAACAAAACTACCCTACGACCCCAGCAGCTGTACTACTAGGTATTACTCAAGGGATACAGGTATGCTGTTTCAAAGGGCCACATGCACCCCAATGTTTATAGTAACGCTATCAGCAATAGCCAAAGTGTGGAAATAATCCAAATGTTCACCAATGGATGAATGGATAAGGAAGATGTGGTATATATACACAATGGAGTATTACTCGGCAATCAAAAAGAATGAAATCTTGCCATTTGCAACTATGTAGATGGAATAGAGGGTATTATGCT